GATCAGCCATACACATACACTACTGTTGGTGTTACAGTGTATGAATATAATTATATCGTTATTAATTTCTTTAGATACGCGATTCCATATTATATTCCCTATTAATCAAATTCCAAAAGTATGCTTTGTTTACTCCGATAACGAGCGTATTTGCAGAAAAGGTTAAAATGATCACTTTTCACAAAGTATACAAACATACAGTACAGTAATATGGTCAGAAGAACCTCGTAAAAACGTTTCCAAAATAACCACATGTAAGACTTTGATGCTTAAAATGTTTAGGGAGAAATGGCATACTGGTGTGTATTTTTTTCTTTAAACTACCAATACCAGCAATATACAGTTTACATAATATGTTTATGTTCCTAAATTAATATCGTTTATGACCTTCAGATGCGTTATGCTCCTCTTTTTTTATGCTCAGCTCTTAAAAATTCCCTTTAGTGTAGCTGCCTGCGGTACAGGTTTGTACTGTGTATTTTGAATGGCTGCATCTGTATATTTAGCAGAGCTTGTGTTAAGCACAGTTCACACCCTTTTGTCTGTTGTGGAGCGGGTGCTGGGCAAAGTGAGGCCGAGTGATGGAGAGTGCCAACACCTGACTTTCTTGTTTAGATGTATATAAAATATTGACCTGTGACGTAACATCCAGAAATACAATAGAAAATAATCTGTGGTATTTGTGTAGATTTAACTTTTCTCAAATTAAAAAAAAATAAAAATGATTAAAATGTATAATCTTACCACATGTAATGTCATTAGGAAGTCCAATAAGCACCTGTTTTGTTTAACGATGGTTTCAAATATAAAAAACTCATTGATGAGAAAGCTATATTAAATGAGAATTAAAAATACTTCAAGAAATTATTTACGTTCAATTGTTACATTTTAAAGGCAGACAGATACGCTAAGTGCAAAGCTGCAGATTGGTCTTGCTGAACTCCAAGCCTCCTCTCAGGCCCACCTCTGATAGAGCAGGTGGTGTCCTGTTTCCTCAGCAACATGCTAATTACTTCACACATCAGGAAGAGTTGAGAAGGAATGCAATTTTATATGTATGAAATGCATGTTGCGTTTACAAAATCAAAATGTTTAAAACGTTTAATTCAAAAGTTTAAAAAATACATCTTGCACAAAGAATCTACGATGATCATGCATAAAAAGTGTCAATAACTATCTAAACCCATAAATAACTGTCTCACCCCGTTTTTTCATGGATTTTAAAGTCATCGAATGTCTATTTTAGGTAGGGACATGCTATTTCTTATTTTTTATTTTCTTTAAATTTAAAAGAATCAGTTGCCCATCATGGCAGAGAATGTTACATTTTTATATTTTTGGCATTTATTCATTGAACACATTGTGATATATAAAAATAAAACATCAATATAATGTACATAATATTAACTACTTAAAATGTATATTTGTTAAAGAAGAACTTGCCATGAGCAGGATTCAAACCCCACTTTTCAGAATACAAGATGTGTTCTGAAGCCATTATGCCAACAAGCCACTTGGTAGCTTTGTTGTAAAATTCCATATTAAGCAGATTTATACATGCACCGTAAAGAGATTTAATTAAGCAATCATTTCACTAACAACCAATGCGCCACAAGTGCCACCTGTCGGTCATTTTGGCCAGCCATTCACGTACTGCGGTATTCCGCACTATTCTGTAGATAATTTTGAGCGGTACAGGGTTTTGAATGGCTGCATCTGTATCTATTATCTATTCCCAGAATTATGCCTTGGATATGTACAATAACAATGGATGATTAACACCCTTTGCATTTCAAAATAATTCTGTGTTGGAGATGGAGATTTTAATTTACTGTAACAATCAGAAACTATATCAGTAAATTGCTAGAGTACTTGATGACTCTTAGGAACCAATCAAATATAATAATTTACAGACTGAACACGGATTGTAAACATACACTATACAATTTATTGTTATAACCAAAACATGCATAAATTATACAAGTGTAATAGAATATATCTTTAAAACGACCTGCTGTGAACACAGCATGCTGATCATTCACCCAGGGATTACAAAGACCAGAGTTAATAACTTCAGAATTAAAATATGCATCAACTATTATGTATTACAGTTTAGATTGCAGGTTCTATCAATCTCATATAACCAAATCACAATTATTTTCTCAGACACAGGAAAATATGCATTTACTATCAATAACTAAATATCAGACGTGTGTTTGATTAATTATAATGTGAATATATTTTACTCAACAATCTGTTGGCCAAATGTCCTTGTTCTTCATGAACTTCACACTGGTATAAAGCTAGGATGGGTTTGTCCATGGCAGCAAAAGAGAGAGGAAAAAAAAAAACTTTTTCCTTGCTTTGAAGCTTAGGTAGCTCTGCCAAAGTAGTGTCTTGGTGACTTTGGTCATTAAAAACAGTCTGTACACAGTTTGTCTGCTTGAGATCTGACTGCAAATTAAATAAAATGAGAACTCGGTTCATCCCAGCTATAGCTTTGCTCAGAATATGCTCACATATTCTGGTGTTGACAAGAAACATGACATAGTTCAGCTTGATACAGCTTTATGATGTCTCTTATCAGAGGGATCTCTTTAGCCACATTTCTGTGCCATCCAGAGAAAACTCCAGGCTGAGATACAGATAAGCGCAGATAGATTATTAGAAACCTTATTTTAATTCTAAGTGAAAGAGATCTTGTCACTACATCTGTTTGACATTATTTTTATAATCTTGAAGGTAAATGGTGAAAGATTACATTTTATATTTAATAACTGACCCATTGGTAGTAGAATATAGTAATCTACTCTATATCTAGCAGATTACCTAGAATTTAGATACCTATTTTAGAATATGCAAGCATTTTGTGATCAAATGACACATATAATCTACATCCAATGCTTGTTAAGCATTAGTTTGTATATGCAGTAGAAATCTAGTGCTTTTATTTACAATTTTGATTTTTGGGCTGTACACAGTGCAGATTTGTCACACTGTCCTCAGTACTGTTCTATTCAGTAATTGTAATTCATTTAAGTAATATTCTACAAATGTCACACATAATATGAAGGCTTGATATTCATCTGCCATAAAAATTGTAATAGTTGTAGTCCTAAGACAGGAAGTGTTAATAGCAGTCAGTGAATCCTTTATCATGCAAAGCTTCTGTGAGAGTAGCTGACTGTGCAAAATATATCCCATAAATGCTCAGACATATTTCTTGTCCCAATTCCTTACTATCCAATTTTTTTTCTGTAGCAGCTGTCTGAAAAATTGAGTTTCTTTCCATTTTGTACCTATCATTGCAGTACATTTATGACCTTGCAGAACTACAAGGTCCTGCAGCATTAGCCGATTGTCTAGTTTCAAATATAGACAAAATAGCTTTCCTAGTGAAAGGGATGCATTAGATGAATCTATGTGATTCTTTGTGATCACTATAAGTCTAGCTCATCTAATGAAAAAATAAATTGGGGGTTGTTTACTTCATATTTAGAGATTAACTCTTAGTTATTAATGCTAATTATTTTTTAAAGAAAAAAATTGGTTTTAAGATATGCAATTCTGTAAGGACCTGGAAACACAAAGACAGGAAACACAAAAACAGTTGCTGTAGTGCTTCTGTACCAGTTTTGAAAGTACTACTGCAGGATTTTGATAGGGTTTTATGAATAAATAAAATTGCAAGAATAAATGCTTCATTACTACCTGTCCATACAGATTTTGTTTACATTTCAAACAATTTATTTGCAACCAGACTAAAATAGGTAGCTACCTGTTCATTGAATTTTCTCATTTAAATATAAGACTAGAAAATATATTTGAGAACATTATGTCCAGTTCTTGAACAGTGCATACACAAATATTGTATATAACAGTTATGCTATGTGCTTCTAAATGTTGTATATTCCTGTTCATTTCCTTTTCTTATTCAAATATAATACTGGAACATGTGTTTGAGAGTCCTTGAACAGTACATACAGAAATACATCACAGTTGTTAAGTGCTCTAAAATGCTATATATTCCATTTGGTTAGAACTATTCAGGTATTAACACAGATAAACACTGATTTTCTTCTACAAAAAGTAATGATGAGGGTTTATGTAGCTTTTTTTGAATTACACATCCTTCCAGACAGAAGTGGCTACTGGAAGGCTGGGTACTTAATAGGTGAGAAAGAGACAACATGCAACATTAGTGTTACACTATTTACAAAACAGTAGATAATGGAGGTCTTCATTCTACAGACCCCGAAACCCAGAATCCTAACCCTGTAAAGTGAAACATTATACAATACATTGACAACTTAATATAAAATACACCCTGCATCCTCAATGAAAGAATGTGACCTGGCACTAATTCTCCCTTCTTATAACATGGGTATCCAAAAGTAATTGGGAAAGTAGGAGTTTTTAATTAAAGCCACCTATTGTAGTGAAAATTCAGCACAACTGTTTTAACTGATTAAGTGGTGTCAGTGTGACTGAAATTCCACAGGTGGAAAAGACTGGCTCTTGGATATATGATTGTCTCTGGTAATTGGCCACTAATGTTTTAATAATGTTTTAAACCTTTTTCTGCAAATACCTAAGCTTGTTATCACAGTAAAAAAAGCATACTTTTTAGAGTTTGATTAATATTACTGTACAGTATAATTAAACTGCAGAAAAGGATGGATTTTTTAATCTAATGCATTAACACATACATAAACATTTAATTTAATTATTAAAATAAGATTTACTGTTTGTGACAGACACACGGTACAGTACAATGTAACAAATTTCTCTGCATACCATACCGCAGCATGTTCTTTGTTGTAAACCATAAGGCACCTTGAGCATTCTGAATGGCTGCATTTGTATAACTGCAGTAAATTCATTTTAAATATACTCTCTGAATGCCTAGCAACTAGCAATTAATCCCACCTCTAATCTACATTTTATTTAACAACCGTATCAACTTTTTACTCTTCAACAAAAGCAAAAAGTAAACTTACTTTGAGTTTGTCATAGCGTTCACTCAATGAGGACACCTGGTGCTCTCTGTGTCGGCCCACCAGCTTACACAAGGCACATATAAGCTGATCATCGGCAATGCAGTACATATTGACTTTCTCATTTTCATGTTCCAAGCATGTGAGCCCACGCAGGTGGGTGTCGGGCACAGGTTCTACCAACCGATGGCTGGTGAAAGGTTTCTTGTTGGGGTGTGTAGCCCGTAAGCAGCGGTCACAGTACGACACCTCACAGGTGACACAAGTCTTAACGGCCTCACGAGGCGGATCTTGCTCACAAAACTGACAGCCAATGCGCTCGAGTGACATATTGGTGGTGGTGCTGCCTTGGGTACTGTAGGGGAGCTCACCGTGGCTCTTACTAGGGAATCTGGGTCTGCTCAGACAAGCTTTCTGGAAGTGGTCAATAATATTCTGCAGGGTAACATTGCGCTCCAGCCCCTCCAGGCCACGACAATTAAGTGTAATGATGTAATGGCAAGTAGGGCACTGGAAGGCAGAAATGGACTCAACGAGCCAGTTGGTAGAGCAGTGAGACACCAGGATATGGTGGGCACAGTTAAAGCAAAGGCTATGGGCACAGGGCAGCAGCAGAGGGTCTTCAAATAACTCCAGACAAATTGGGCAGGTTAGCTCCGGCTCCAGTGTTTCCATCTTCAATTGAACCAATGTAGAGATGACATCATATCCCACAGAAGCTGGCTAGCTACCTGTGATACAACAAAAAATGGGATAATGATCTGTTAAAATGCAGGAATATCAAATTTTTACTGTTGTACGAAAAGGTTGCAGTACTTTTTAAATCCACATAGGGAATAGTAATACGGAATCATGTAACTAAAGGGAAATTTTGGCAGCTAAAAATAAAAAATAACTGAAGTATAATAATGTCTTTGAACACTATTAACGATATTTATTTATGAATAACAAATAATGAAAAATAATAACATATTTAGTAGGTAGCAGTACTTGATTTAACATTTTTCATAAACATTTTCTTTATCGACGTCTTTAACCTGGTCACTTGCTGTTGTTATTTTAGAAAAGTGCTGATGTCCTCCTTTAACATCATCTATTGTAATAGAAAATTATACACAATTTAGAGTGATGCACTGTTGGCTCAGTGGTTGGATTCTGCACTATCATGCAAGTCGATCCCAGTCATATCCTAAGTTACCTACTTAACAAGTTGTCCCTTGGGCATAACAAAGACTTTCTGTAATAATAAAATAAAATGTATATAGCATTAATATTTTTGTTAATGTTATATATCACAATATGTTAAATATTAAAATAGTATTAATAAATATTAAATGATAATACAAATGAACCTCCAGACCAACGATCTCAAGGATGCTCAGATAGAAAAAGGGAATTTAAAGATGCCCTGAAACAGAAATCACAATTGAGTTTTTTTATGTACAGTATTTAGTTTTAAACACAAATACTAAGATCACAATGCATTTTTTATTTTAAAATTATTTTTTTATAAACGTTTTTGCTGCCCCTTCTTTCTTCTTCACTAGCCAAAGATGATCAATAAGCGGCACCTATGGTGTGTTAGATGTTAGTGAAACAGTTGCTTCATGTAATCTGTTTCCCAAATGTTAACTATCGTTAAATCCACATAATATGATACATTAATATGGAATTTTGTAACTGTAGGAAATTTTGGAAGCTGTCAATACAATTAACAGAAGCATAATGACTCTGAACATCATACATGATATCAATTTAAGAATATAAATATATTATACAGATCCAGCCATTCAAAATCCACGGAGTATGCTGCATTAAAATGCGGTTGGCATGGCGTGCCACAACGCATCACACCGCAGTTATGATAATAGTATCCGGAATCACCTTGTAAAACCGCCAGGTGGAGCTAATAAAGCTTAATGTCTCATGTAGCATTTGAGCTGTCGCCAGAAAATGCCAGATTTCCAATCCTGGTCACTGCTGTGGGACAATCTTTTTTCAATTAAGAATTTAAGTTGTATAGTCTTTAGACTTTTAAATTTAAACTGTGTATTACAGCATGTTAATCATTATACATTAAAAAGTTGGTATATTTTATGAAAGCAAGATTGCTCAGTTAGACAAACCTACCACCTTTATCATAAATATTTTAATTTATGCAGAAATATTTTAGTCTTTACCGCAGATATTACTAATAGTATTAATAATTAATGACCTTGGACAAGCTGTAAAATCAAAGTATTACCCTGGTCCACATTTTTTATAACTGTCTTTGTAAACAAAAATACTTTATTTTTTCATTGACAAAAAGTAACACCACAGCATTTTCACGTATTTCTTTCCAATTATACAAGTTAAGTTTTGAGAATCTCTGATTCACCATGCCTTTCACATGCTCTTAAACGATATTAATTTAGGAACATAAACCTATTATGTAATCTGTATATTGCCGGTATTGGTAGTTTAAAGAAAAAAATACACACCAGTATGCCATTTCTCCCTAAACATTTTAAGCATCAAAGGCTTACATGTGGTTTTTACGTGCTCCTTTTGACCATGTTACTGTACGTTTATTTACAGTACTTTGAGAGAAAAGTGATAGTTTTAAGCTTTTCTGCGAATATGCTCGATATCAGAGTAAACAAAAGCATACTTTTAGAATTTGATTAACAGGGAATATAATATGGAATCACATATCTAAAAAAATTAATGATGTAATTACATTCATGTTCTGTAGCACAAACATTAGTATAAGACTTGCTATTGATATGTGTATGACACAAGAAGAGTATTATTGGACAATATTGTGAGGCTAAAAAAATCAATAACAATATTAATTTAAAGATCTAAATATATTTAACGCATACACCTGACATTAGACGGTGTGTCTGCTCGCCTGCTTGGTGACGTCACTGTTTTTCCCTCTGAATATCTAGCGCGGACTTGTGCCGTGTGGATCCCTTTAGATCTCCCTTCAGATTTAAAAGGTTATTAATAATATCTTCAGTGTCACATTAACATTGGAATGTTCTTCCAGGTGTAAAAAGAGGCAATACTCAACATGTCTCCTTCATAAAATTTCAGTTTACAGAACGTACAAGATCATTTTTTATGAATGTCTTTCGTATCGCATTACAATTGGAATGCTTTTCACAGGTGTAAATCCACCTATTTTCTAATCGCTTTATCCAGGAAAGGTAACAGTTTCACAACTCACCCTTCCCCCTGCCTGTCTGACTTTCTTTTTAACCCTTCTGTGCCCGAATCGCTGTGGGTGAGAAAGAAACAAACTGAAACTTAGAGCGTAAACATATGAAAATTCATATTCCTTACTCAACAGTTTTTTAAAAACAGCACCCAATGATGTTCAAATCATGATGTCCTTGATTTCTTTACACAGAAGACTGACACAGCTACTGCATATTAGGTTCATGTGTATTGTCTGTTTAGGGTTCTGTAGCATTCCAGTTAATGTTGTGTTTGTACTTGCAAGAATAGTGATTACAAACATTAAAAAATATACTTGCTTTATGCTCTCCAACTGAGCAATCTTGCTTTTATAAAATATACCGACTTTTTCATGTTTGATGTGTAAGATGCTGTAATACAGTTTAAAATGATTAAAAGTCTAAACAGTATCAACTTGAATTCTTATCTCTATTAATATAACTATCAAGTGGTATTAAATAAATACAGCTTTTTAGTATAGATTTCCTTTTCTAAAAATGTTTTTAAAAAATAAAAACAACTACAATCTAATCTTTCCACGTTTGATCCCAATAGGAATCACAATACGTTCCTGCTTCGTTTAGCGATGGTATGAAAAATAAATCTAAATGGAGAGAAAGCTATGCGGAAAGTTGATTAAGATACTTAGAAGACAAAGATAACAATTTCCGTTGCATTGCCAGATTGTGAATCAATAAAGGCATTTAATTAAACACGCGTTTATGTTTTAATTTAAAATGGGGCTAATGGGGACTCTCTTATTATTTCTCTCTTCTCTCTTATTGTCAAAACTCGTTCAGTTGTGATTCTTTTGGTTTCACGGAGGGCTTCTCAGATAGTTGGGCATTCAGGTAGATTGCCAGGTGAAAGGATTGGTAAATATATTTTGTTAAACCAAGTCAGGTTTTTGCGACACATAAAGACATTTTTCCAAGAAATATCTGATGATGAGGAAGAAAAATCACCTGTTTTTTGTGCACAAAAAGTGGTTATTAACTATCAAAACCTGTTTTTATCGCTTTTAAAGTCCTGCAATTTCTAAGTTAAGCAGGAACACATCAATACATCTCATTTTTTAATTCTTTTTTTTAAATTAAAAAATTTGATTGCCCATCCTAATGTGTATTTGTTAAAAGAAAACTTGTGGCGATAGCTGGATGTAAACACTTGACCTCAGGGTTATAAGTCAGGCACTTAAGCCACCACACCACTGATACAGTCACATAACAAGTAGTGTTTGTCCTATAGTACATGAATATAATTATATTGTTATAAATTTCTTTAGATAAGCGATTCCATATTATATTCCCTATTAATCAAATTCTAAAAGTATGCTTTTGTTTACGCCAATAACGAGCGTATTTGCAGAAAAGCTTAAAACTATCACTTTTCTCACAAAGTACTGTATATAAATGTACAGTAACATCTTAATCCTCTGTACTGGATAAAGAGATTAGAAAATGAATGAAAGTAAAGGCACTGTTTGGATGGAACTATACACAGTGTTAGAAACCCACTATGTGATGGCAGCATCTCACTGAGAATAAATTATTTTATAGTGCTGACTTAAGGAAACAGCCTTTCAACCTCTCTTGCACTTCAGTATCCATACCTAGTTAGTTATTTAAACAAATTGCCTCTAAATATAAACATCTTAAGATGCTGGCTCTGTGGATCAACATCAGCTATGTTTGCCCATTCCTTCAGTTCATGTGCATCCAACACATAGTTCAATGCTAGCAACTACACAAAATCTAAAATACAATCCTCATTTCAGTATCTATGTAAACATACAGTCTGTTAACCTGATCTTCATCAAAAGTATACCTAACCCCATTAGGAAGTGTTCTTGTTATCGGTGTATTCGTCAGCTTTCCCAAAATTATCTTCTTCTTACCAACATCTCTAGTCTTACATTCTGCAATAAGTCAGCCAACACTTAAATCATCAAAAACTGCATTTGTTAATTTGTTTAAATGACAAATACCATATGTAAATACTGGCCATGTAGAACTCTGCATTGAGGAATAACAGTTTCTTTTAAAAGGGAACTAGAAAAACTAGGAACTAGGGGAATCAAGAAAGGCTTTTTTCTAGAATTAATAAATGCACATCCTGTTAACTGGGGTAATTAAATTCACACTGAGCAATCTCCAAAATGTTCAGAATTTGACAGACATAATCCTGTTCAGGTTGCATTACGCCTGTCTTCAAGTCCTTGCACTGGCTTCGTATCAGGTTTTGAGTCAACTTCAAAATCCCAATCTTCATTCAGTAACTATCTGGCTTGTTATCTGTCTACTCCCTACCTTGCAACCTTTGTCCATCTGACTCTGGTCTTCTAACAGTCCTCAAGAACATCTACATTCTGTGGGTGACAGGACCTTCTCTAGCTGCAATCCAGAGCTCTGGATTTGTATCCTCAGTGATATCAGAGTTGCCCACCCTTTGTGCATTTAAATTTAACCTCAAAACCTTTCTTTTCAGAAGACTTATCCGAAAC